CACACACACACACACACACACACACCGGAAAAGCACTAGGTAGTAACCGGAGGTATGCAACCCAGGGCCGAGGGGTCTAGCACAGACGTGCTCGGCACACAGGAGCATCCTAGTAACATTACTAACACCCTGGCAACACAATACCTACATCAATAGGTCAAGTACGCGGCCTCGGTATTCTTAGTTTGCTGTTCATGTGCTGCCACCAATCGTAACTTGTTTTTCTGCCTAAGCAAGAGCGCAGCGAACAGGTGCATCAAATGTTGAAACTACAACAACGTAGTCACACGCCAGTATTACAGCAATATCTCTACATGATGGAATCATGCAGAAACGCATGATCGCATCAGCAAGCCTGATGCATAGCTAAATAGGCTCTACAAATGATCACCGCAAGGCAACCAGCCGAGTGGTTAAGAAGGGGAGATAGTTCTGTGTTTTCTGGACGGAAACACAGAACTATCAGAACTATGCTCCCTTAGTGCGCTGTAGCGACTGAGTGGTAAAATGTCTCACCGTGCTTTTTTGAAATACTGTTCCCTGCCTTGGTTGTTTTTCGCTGCGAGGCCCCTGCAAAAAGAATGCTAGTTATTCGCACGAACCACACTGTCGGAAACAGGGAGCAAGTAGTGCACCATTAAACTAGGTTGTTAAATTTCGGAAACAAGAAAGGTACGCTTCTGTTGCGTCGAGCTGCGCATATTACAACAATGTATGAACCAAATGCAATCTTCCCCTCGCCCATGAAAAAGACTACACGCGTCTACTCTCTACTGCATGCCCAGCCTGTCACTGCACCTTTTCAGAACTTTCCGTCTGCTCTGCCACAAAAAGGCGCAACAACAGTACTGGGCGATACAGAGAGAAAGAACAAACAAAATGCAACCATATGTGCTTTTTTTATTTTTTCAAAATGAAACAGTACACTCCCGTCGATGAATACAAGAACGACGCACAAAAGCACTGTGTATGCCGCTCGCCTACCAGACAAAATTCTCCACTGCATGCGTGGAACACTCTTTCTGGCTAATACAAAAAAAGGCCTAGATAACAAACTGTTTTCCACTCTGTGCCGTGGGCGACAAAACTTGGGCTTCCAAACAAAAAACTCGTGCAAATATGGCGAGGGAGCGGATGAGAGAGAGGAACAACGTACTAGAAGACCATTCTGGACATCTGAAACACACATCACATTATGCGGCAGTGCCTTGAGAAAACGAAGTCTGAAGAAAAAATTTTTCGTACATGAAAACTCCCAATAAACAGCACGGCAGCGTGTTCAGACACGCGTCCATGCGCATATAGTATTTGGAACCAAAGATGCATATAATGGTGGATGGGAGATATGACGTATCTGACCAATGCGTGGAAGGTCACTAAGCCAAGAGGAAAAAGGGAAGAAGGCATAAAAGGAAACACTTCTCTCGCAGGCTACAAACTAAGTGTAAAAAAACAAACTGTTTTATAAAAAAAGAAAAAACCAGAGTGTTTTGTAATCGCATTTGAGTAAGGAACTATAGATGCATTACTAGGGAGTACCCAGTTGTACCGTACAAGGAGCAAGTTTTTGCCTGGTTCCTCGCTGCTTTTTTATTCCAGTTGCCGCTAGCCAGAAATTATATGCCAACAAAAATGAAACACATCTTCATCCAAGGTCGAAACAAAAAGAAAAAAAAAACGAATAATATTCGACCCAAAAATTACCTAGAACAATCCTTTATCACTAAGAACGTCGGGCGACTGGTATCGTTTCAAATCGTATCCGCAAGCAAACAAGCACCTCACAAGCATTCCTTTTTTTGTGGAAGCAAACTGGACAAGAATAAGCAGGCGATAATTGCTACACAAAACAGCAACTATAAAACATGCGCATTTTGCACGTGTTTTTGACTATTTCCTGGAAGTACATTGTCGCAACGGCATGCAACAAAAGAAACAAAACCAAACAGTAGACAAAAGAGCGCCCGAACCGAGACAGAGTCAAGAAACAACACGGACGGACGACTTACGAACTGCGGCAGGACGGGAATTTACACAACAACGAAACGTCGCATAATGCAATAAAAAAAAAAAAATCAATGTCTTGAGCGTTTCTCTAAAGCAATTACATGATAACAACCCGAATACTGGGACTTTTCGAGAATTCTCTCCTTCCACTGCCAAGCAAACCTTCAAAAGTTAGCCCGGCTCAGCACCATCACTTCTCCATAGAGACTTCTCGCTTCAACATACGGGCAAAACAGAAAGACTAACGGGCATCTTACTTCTCCAAACGAAACTAGCACTACTACTACTGCCGCTACTGTTTACTGATTATCATCCGTTGGTTTTATAAAGAAATGAGGAGTTCTTGCATTTCTGTCATTCAGCTTTAGTAAAGACACCTCAAATGTCACACTTTAGAGACAAATGCCACAACAAAATTAAGGGGGCAGTGAATTATGGAAAGGGTATTGGCACAACATAAAACTGTGCACTACCATTTAAAGCAAAAAGAAAAAAAAAAAAAAAACAAGAATAAAAATTGATAAAGACAGCACACAATCTTTTGATAAGACGAATGTACATATTTTTTTACCCTTCTTTCGGGAAATGGCGCTCAGCAAGACGACAAGGAGCGGGGCAAAAAGGAAAGAAATACGGGCTAGGAAAAAAGCGGACGTATGTTTTTTGAAAACGAGTTGTTTTTATCTAAAGCAAATGAGAAAGCTGAAACTGGGGTATAACGTGGAATGTGGAAGAAACAAACAATACACCTTCAGGATGTGCTACTCGGCTCGAAAATGTACGCATTATCCTGCATAGCGTATTATCTAAAAATCATTCCAAGACCGATTTCTATCGTAACATTCCAAGTTCCAAATTTAACGGGAAAATGTGAGTAGATACTGCAAACAGAACACGACGAAAATTTGCTGGGAAGAAATGAACGCGAACTTAAAATCAGGAACACAAGAGATCACTTGTTGCACAAAACTGGGAGCACAAATTAGCAGTTCCCGTAAAGGTGACACAAACATCAAGCAAGACCCGCGACTTTGCGTTGACACAAAGTCGCGACTTTGTGCCGTCACGTAAGACCCGCGACTTTGTGTAGATGAGAAAGCCTCAGGATGTGTTCTGAATTCCAAAAGCAAGTTTGAATTAAGCCAAAATGCCTCAACAATTTAACAAAAACCGGCAAACCTGTAGCAATATAACCACCAACTGTCTATTACTGCAACTAAACTGAAAAAAAGCCGTCCAGCTAAGGAGGAATCTTTGACCAAACAAACCACATCCAAAGCTTTCCCACAATCACCGGCTAACTTAACAGTCTTCTTTTACTGGCTCACAATAACTGCTAATCAAACAAAAGTTGATGCAGAATCCCTGTCAGGTTTGTCGCTGGTGGTGCTGACCAGCGCTTTGTTCGGTACATACTGCCCTGAAAAATTATTTGCCAATTCGATCGATCCATCATGAATTTAAATGGCGGCACACACCAGCGTAACCGGTGCGATCATGCGTTTTGCGTAGTTCCATCCAGCGAACATTTGCCTGCTAAAGACTTTCACTGCTTTGCACTCTGGTCTGTGCAAAAGCAGTTGAAATATTGCTAGTTTCTAAGCTGCAAAAGTTCCCACTAATAATTTCATGTACCGGCACGTAAGCGCACGTGAGGGCTAAATTTGAAGCCTTGGATGGTAAACATTGCCCTAAAATTTCAACCGCCTAGTTCTCCGGCTCCCGAGTTACTTTCGCACCGAAACTTTCACGCAGTCGTACGCGAGAACTTGTTATACTTGGGAGCTAAGTTGAGTTTATTAGGCCCCTACATAAGCAGAAAATACCCTCCTGAAGTTTCCAGC